TGTCTTTCTCTGTCTGACTACTTCACTCAGTATGATAATCTCTAAGTTTATCATATTGCTGCAAATGGCAATATTTCATTCTTTTATATGACTAAATAATATTCCATTGTATATATACATACATATGTGTGTGTGTGTGTGTGTGTGTGTATCACATTTTCTTTATTCACCTTTTAATGAACATTTAGTTTACTTACGTGTCCTGGGTAATATAAACAGTGCAGCTATGAACATTGAGGTACAGGCATGTGTCTTTTCAAATTAGAATTTTTGTCTTTTATAGATATATGCCCAGGAGTGGGATTTCTGGATCATTTCTGGTAACTCTGCTTTTAGATTTTTAATAAACCTCCATACTGTTCTTCATAGTGGCTGCACCAATCTACATTCCCATCAACAGTGCAGGAGGGTTCCCTTTTCTCCACACCCTCTCCAGCATTTATTGTTTGTAGACTTTTTTATGATAGCCATTCTGATCAGTATGAGGTTTTGATTTGCATTTCTCTAATAATTAGCTATGTTGAGCGTCTTTTCATGTGCCCACTGGTCATCTGTATGCCTCTTTGGAAGAAATGTATATTTTGGTCATCTGCCCATGTTTTGATTGGATGAACTGTTTGACAGAATTTTTTAAGTTTATTTCTTTTTAATTGGAGGAGAATTGCTTTACAATATTGTGTTGGTTTCTGCCATATATCAACATGATTCAGCCATAGGTATATGTATGTCCCTCCCTCTTGAACCTCCCTCCAACCACCCCCTCCATCCCATCCCTCTAAGCTGTCATAGAGCACCAGAATTGAGCTCCCTGCATCATGCAGCAATTTTCCACCAGCTATCTAATTTTATATATGGTAATATATATGTTTCAATGCTACTCTCAATTCATGCCACCCTCTCCTTCCCCTCCCTGTGAAATGACTTAGAATTTTTAAGTGATGTGTAAAAGGGATTCAGCTGTGTGTTAGTAATAGACATCAGGATAAATAGGAAATAGAAATTAAGAGGTAGGAACATAAAATCTAGTCTAACCTTCTTCATCATATGGCTAGGAATGAAACAAGATAAGCTTGTGATAACAGCTACAGAGGTACTGTGGAGGTTAACAAACAGAGGTACTCTGGTTGAGAATGGGATTCAGATTAATACACGAGATGTAAGTTGATAATTATGGACTGGGAGAATACGGCAAAGGATTAAAAAGAGGTTTCTATGAAAAGTGAAAGGTGATAATTAAAAGAGAAAAAGCCCTGGGAAGGGAGAAAAGATAGTTATAGGATACAGATGAAAAAGTTGACTGTAAACAGGAAGAGGAAACAGCTGGAGATAGGGGAGTTTTATAGGCATGTGGGCAGAAAAGCAAAGTTCTCCATGCAATAGCATCAATTTTGTGAAACAGAAGACACGATCATCTTCTTTTAGGGATAGGAGGCAAGAGGAGACGAAAAGAGGTGTAGATGCTTGGAAGACAGCATTTGGGGGAAAACAGGGGAGAATGGATTAGCATTGCTGGGGTGCTAGATGAGGATGGACACTATAAATCTAATATTTGGTGATTTGTGGCATTCTCCAGCAATGTTCACCCATCTGGCAATAGAAATAGTTTGTACAGAGTTGATCCAAGTATTTGATGTTTCCTAGGTCAATATGGCAAAAAGACACAAAAGCAAGTCACTGAAAGTGACAAGTGAGTGACTAGAGTCCTGCACCTTCCTGAAACTTCTATTGCAGGCCAACTGGTCTTCTGACTATCCCTAGACTAGGACTTCTATTTCCTGACCCTGTTTATTTGCTTACAACATTCGTTTAACTTGAATTCATCTTCCTCATTTCAACTTTATTGTTTAAGCTTCATTTTAAATGTTATCTTTCTACAAGGCATTCCTTAGTTCTCTTTTTAACCAAAATTAAACTTTGTCTTAAAATTGTTATTGCATCAGAATTTTTTGCACTATTTATCAACTATTTCTTGACCTGCTATCAGGCCCACAAATCACTGCAGCTGGTATTCACAGAAGACAAAATAGCTTGCATTAAGACTGGACACTATGTTACTCCTAGAGGGAAACATAGACAGAACTCTCTCTGACATAAATCACAGCAACATCTTTTTTGATCCATCTCTCAGAATAATGGAAGTAAAAACAAGAAACAAAGGGGGCCTACTTAAACTCAAAAGTTTTTTCACAGCAAAGGAAACAATAAATTTTTTAAAAACCCACAGATTGGGAGAAAATATTTGCAAACGATGTGACCAATAAGGGATTAGTCTCCAAAATTTACAAACAGATTAACAGCATCAAAACAAACAACTCACACACAAAAAAATGGGCAGAAGACCTAAACAGACATTTCTCAAAAAAAGACATATGGTTGGCCAATAGGCACATGAAAAGATGTTCAATGTCACTAATTATTAGAGAAATGCAAATCAAAACTACAATGAGATATCACTTCATACCAGCCATAATGGCTATCATCAAAAAATCCACAAACAATAAATGCTGGAGAGGGTGTAGACAGAAGCGAACCCTCCTGCACTATTGATGGGAATGTAAATTGGTACAGCCACCATGGATAACAGTATGGAGTTTCCTTAAAAAACTAAAAATAGAGCTACCATATGATGCTGCAATCCCCCTCCTGGACATGTATCTGGAGAAAAATATCCAAAAGGATACATGCACCCCAATGTTCATTGCAGCACTGTTTACAATAGCCAAGACATGGAAGCAACCTAAATGTCCATCAACAGATGAATGGATAAAGATGTGGTACAGATATACAATGGGATATTAGACATTTAAAAAGTTAGATAATGCCATTTGCAGCAACATGTGACATTTGTGTCACAGTAAGTGAAGTCAGACAGAAAAGGAGCAATATTTTAAGATACCCCTTATTTGTGGAATCTAAAAAGAAATGATACTAATGAGCTTACAAAAGAGAGAGACTCACAGACTTAGAAAATGAACTTATGGTTTTATAGAGGAAGGGGTAGTTAGAAACTTTGGGAAAGTCATGTATACACTGCTATACTTAAAACAGATAACCAACAAGGACCTATTGTATACCACATGGAACTCTGCTCAGTGGTATGTGGCAGCCTGGATGGGAGGGGAGGTTGGGGGAGAATGGATACATGTATATGTATGGCTGAGTCCCTTCACTGTTCACCTGAAACTATCACAACATTGTTAATCAGTTATACCTCAATACAAAATAAAAAGTTCAAAAAAAAAAAAAGGCAACAAATAATAGCTAACATTAATATTGAGTCCTTAACACACTTCACCATGTCTAAGTACTTTCCATTGATTATATATAGTTATATCAACAGTATATAAGTCACGAATTTTTCCTAGAACCATTTTAGAAATGAAGGAGCAGAGGCAGAGACAGTATAAGCATCTCAGCTAGCATGCAACAGAAGGAATAGCTCTAGCAATCAGACTCCAGCGTCTTTGTCTTAACCAACACACTACACAACTCCCCACAGGCTTTTTATTGTATTGTCTCATATTGTAAATTAGGATCGTAATATTGTAAATCTTATATTGTAAAACTTATAGATTTCAGACTTCTGTAAGAAAGGATTCAGGTCTTAAATTTCTTTCCCTTAACCCCTAAAAATGTGTGTTGCATATAAACAGCTCTCAACAAATAGTTACACAATTAATTAATGGCTCAGAGCCTGGAATCTCACTGAATCCTTGGAATGAAGAGTAACAAGGAATTTTCCAGGTAGTTTCATTGGAGCATTTCCTTCCAACTAAAGCTATTTCCAAAGATTGCTGTTCAGTCGCTAAGCTACGTCCAACTCTCACCACCTCATGGACTGTAGCCCACCAGGTTCCTCTGCCCATGGAATTTCTCAGATAAGATTACTGGAGTAGGCTGCCATTTCCTTCTCCAGGGGATCTTTCCAACCCAGGGGTCAAACCTAGGTCTCCTGCACTGGCAGGCAGGTTCTTTACTGGTGAGCCACCAGGAAAGCCCAAAGATGGTCTCTTTTATTATGCAATCAAGGTGATTTGGCCTCCTCTGAAATCTGTAGGTGAGAGAGTAAGTTTATTTCTGTTTTGTTTTTTGCATTTATTGCTATTCTAGATTTCGTCAAGTGCCCAGACTTCCAGAAGAGATGGGGAAATTCTCTACTTCTTTTATCTAACTTATTTTCTCAGTGAACTATATGACTGCATGGTTTTTAAAAGTACATGTATCAGTGTTTGAACTTTAAATGATAAGACTTGGAAATCATTTTGCTTTTTGTTGGTTTTTATCCCCACAGCTCGGTGAGAGTCAAAGCATCCCCGAGGGACTGTATCCATCCAGAGAGCGATTTTCATCAGTTGCACCTTATAAACCAAGCAGAGATGTTCCTCCACTCGCTCCTGCCAATGGCCTAGGACTTATTTCACCACAAGGGCCTGTGCTATCTCCCCCTCTTTTTAGAAACGGGCAAGGTGCACCACCTACTTCTCTTGGGACCACAAGTCGCCTGGTTCCACGTCCTCCTTCTGGCGCAAAAGGGAACCGTGCACCTCCTCCTGCTCCTGGTACAGAAAGGCAACTTCCATCTTCTCCACCTGACACTAAAGGGCGCCTTCCCCGTTCTGTTCCTGCTAAAAAAGGGCGCCTTTCCCCTCCTTCTTCTGGCACAAAAAGGCGTCTGCCCCCTCCGGCTAAAAAAGAGCGCATTCCCCCTCCTGCTCCTGGGACAAAAGGGCGCCTTCCCTCTCCTGCTAAAAAGGGGCGCCTTTCCCCTCCCTCTCCTGGCACAAAAGGGCGTCTTCCCCCTCTTGCTAAAAAAGGGCGCATTCCCCCTCCTCCCCCTGGCACTAAAGGGCGTCTTCCCCCTCCCTCTCCAGGCACAAAAGGGCGTCTTCCCCCTCTTGCTAAAAAAGGGCGCATTCCCCCTCCTCCCCCTGGCACTAAAGGGCGCCTTCCCCCTGTCCCTCCTGGCACAAGAGGGCGCCTTCCCCCTCCCCCTCCTGGCACTAAAAGGCGTCTTCCCCCTGTCCCTCCTGGCTCAAGAAGCCGTCTTCCCCCTCCTCCCCCTGGCACAAAAGGGCGCCTTCCCTCTCCTGGCACAAAAGGGCGCCTTCCCCGTCCTGGGGCAAAAGGGCATTTTCCCCCTCCCTCTCCAGGCACAAAAGGGCGTTTTCCCCCTCACTCTCCTGGCACAAGAGGCCGTCTTCCCCCTCCTCCCCCTGGCACAAACGGGCGCCTTCCCCCTCCTGGCACAAACGGGCGCCTTCCCCCTCCTGGCACAAAAGGGCGCCTTCCCCCTCCTGGCACAAAAGGGCGCCCTCCCTCTCCCCTTCCTGGCACTAAAGTGTGTCTCCCCCCACCTCCCTCTCCTGGCACTAAAGGGCATCCTCCCCCTCCCCCAATTGGCACAAAAAGGCGCCTTCCCCCTCCCCCTCTTCCTCCTGGAACAAAAGGGCGTCTTCCCCTTCCAGTTACAAAAGGGTGCCTTCCACTTCCTCCTGGTACAAAAGGGCACTTTCCACACTCAACTAAAACAACCACAACCACACCCACTACTACTAACATTACAAAACCCACTACCATCTCAGAACCCACCACCACAGCAACCATCACTTCTACAGAGCCCACCACTATAGCAATCACCATCACTTCCTCTGAACCGACCAACACAACTACCACCACTTCCACAGAACCCACCACCATAGCAACAACAATCACTGATACAGAATCTGCCTCCACAGCAACTATCACTTCTATTCAATCTACTACCACCACACCAACCATAACCACTGAATCCTACATCACCTCTACAGAATCCATGACAGAAGCTACCACTGCATCCACAGAGCCCACCATAAGAGAAACCACCACTCTTTCCACAGAGTCTGCAACCACAGCAACCACCACTACTTCCACAGAATCCTCCATGGCAACCTTCATTACTTACACAGAGCCCATCACAATAGAAACTACCACCACTTCCTCAAAACTCACCAATAAAACAGCAACCATCCCTACCACAGAGCCCAAAAGAGCAACCACCATCACTTCAAATGAATCTGCCACCAAAACAGCAACCATCACCATTTCCACAGAACCCGATACCACTTCCACAGAATCCTCCGCCACAGCAACCATCATCACTACTACAGAACCTACCACAATAGTAACCAATACTGTTTCCATTGAACCCACCACCGCAGCAACCACTTCAGCTGAACCTATCACCACAACAGGAAACAATACAACTTCCACAGAATCTACCAAAGCTGCCATTATTATTTCCACAGAACCCAACAAAATAGCAACCACCACTACTCCCACTTATCCCTTCACCACAGCAACCACCATCACTTCTACAGAACACACTATTACAGCTACCACTATACAATCCACAGAATTGCTCAGCACAGCAACCATCATTACTACTACTACAGAACACACAACCACTATTTCTTCTAGAGAACCAACCACCACAACCAACCAACCAACCACAAGTTCAACTGAACCAGCCACCACAATAGCAACCACCATCACTTCCACTGAACCATATACTACTTTCACAAAATACTCCACAGCAAGCAACATTACTTCCATGGAGCCTGCTGCAATAGAAACCACCACTTCCACAGAACCCATTGATAAAACACCAACCATTCCTACCAGAGAGCCCACCACAGAAACCACTACCAGTTCATCTGAACCTATCACAATAGCAACCATCACTTCCACAGAGCCCACCACCATTTCAACTGAACCTACAAAGACAATAGCATCCAAACTTCCCACAGAGCACACCACAACAGCAATTACCACCACTTCAACTCAACCTAACACCTCAATAGGAAAAACCATAACTTCTACAGAATCTACTACCATTTCCACAGAATCCACCACAGCAACTATCATTACTTCCACAGAGCCTACCACAACAGTGACAACTACTTCCACAGAGTCCACCAACCCAGGAACCATGACCATTTCAACTGAACCTTCTGCTAAACCTGTAACCATCATTTTCACAGTGCCAACCACCATAGCAACTACCACCACTTCAACTGAAACTACCACAACAGGAAACATAACTTCCAAGGAACCTGCCATGACAGCAATAAACATCACTTCTTCAGAGCGCACCACCATAGCAAACACCACCACTTCTACAGAACTGACCAACACAGTAGCCACTGTAACTTCAACTGAACCTACCCCAACACCAGCAACCATCACTTACATAGAGCCCACCATCACAGCAACCAACACTGCTTCCACTGAACCTCTCACCACAGCAGCAACCATCACCATGTCCACTGAACCTTATACAAGTTCCACAGAATATATCACAGCCACCATTACTATTTCCACAGAACCCACTACAATAGCAACCACCACCACTTTCATAGATCCCACCACCACAGTAAACACCACTTCTTCCACAGAATCACCCACCACAGCAACCATTGTCACTTCCTCAGAACCTACCACATTTTCAACAACCATAACTTCCACAGGTCCCACAGCCCAAGCAACAATCAACACCTCTGCAGAATCAACAACCACAGCAACCACTACAGCTTCCATGGAACCTACAACCAAAGCAACAATCAACACCTCTGTAGAACCCACCTCCATAACAACAACCATCACTTCTACAGAGCCCACCACTACAGCAGTAACCACTACTTCCTTGGAATCCCCCAACATAACGAACATCATGACAATTATAAAACCCACCACAAGAGCAACCATCACAGCTTCCACTGAAACCCTCACCACAGCAAACACCCCCAGTTCCATAGTATCAACCATCAGAACACCAACCATTACCACTTCCACAGAACCCTATACCACTTCCACAGAATCTACCACAGTAACTACCATTACTTCCACAGAGCCCACCACTACAGCAATCACCAATATTTCTGCAGAATCCCATACCACAGCAACAATCATCACTACTACAAAACCCACCACCCAAGCAATCACTATCACTTTGGCTGAACCTACCACAACAACAGGAACTACCACAACTTCCACAGACATTATTACGCATGCAACAATCACTTCTATGGAATCTACCACCACTGAACCCACCATAACATCAACTATCACTTCCACCAAGCCCACTAATCCAACAACCACAGCTACTTTAACTAAACCTACAACCACAACAGCAACCATCACTTCCACAGAACCCCCCACCACAGCAACCATTATTACTTCAGAACCTACTATCAAGAAAACCACCATCACTTTGACTGTACCTATCACCTCAAACAGAACCACTACAACTTCTACTGAACCTAGTGCCACAGCTACAACCTTCACTTCTAGAGAATCCACCAACATACCAACCAAAACCACTTCCGCTGAATCGACCACAATGGCCACCATCAACACAAACACTGAACTTTATACCACTTCCACAGAATCCATAGCAGCCACCATCATTACTTCCACTGAATCAGCCACAGTAGCAAACAAAACCACAAAGCCTACCACTACAGCAACCATCACCATGTCCAAAGAATCTCCCACCACATCAACCAGCATCACTACTACAGAATCTACCACATTAGCAACCCGCACCACTTCCACTGATCTCAATACTACAGCAACCCCTACCTCTCTAACTGAATCTACTACCAAAGCAGGAACCACTACAACTTCCATACAACCCACAGCCACAGCAACAATCAACACTTCTGAAGAATCCATCACCACAGGAACCACCACTTCTACTGAGCCCAACACCAGAGAACCTACCACCACTTCCATAGAAACCACCAAGACAGGTACCATTTCCACTTCCACAGAACATTATGCAACTACCACAGAATCTACTATACCAGCCATCATTAAAGAGCCAACCACCACAGTAACCACCACCAATTCAACTGGACCTACCACCACAACAGCAACCATTACCACAGAACCCTATCCCACTTCCAAAAAACCCACCACCACCACCACAGCAGTCATCACTTCCACAGATTCCACTACCATAGCAACTACCACCATTTCCACAGAACCCATCACCACAACAGCAACCATCACGTCCACAGAGCCTTCCACTGCTGTAACCACTGCTACTTCCACAGAATTTCCCACCACAGCAACCATCATAACTACTACAGAACCTGCCACAACAAAAACCACCACTGTTTCCACTGAACAAATCACCATAGAAAGAATTATCACTTCAACCGAACTTACTACAACAGGAACCACAACTTCTAGAGATACCACCAGCACAGCAACAATCATTACTCCCACAGAATCCACCACTACAGCAATCAACACCACTGCAACTGAATCTGCCACCACAACAGGATCAATCACAACTTCCACAGATATTACCACCACCATAGGAACAAATATCAGTTCTATAGAGTCCAACACCACTTTTATAGAACCCTATATCACTTCTGAACCATCCACCACAGCAACCATATTTACTTCCACAGAATCCACAATAGCAACCACTGCAACTTCCATATCACCCACCACCACAATGGCAACAATCAATTCCACAGAGCCCAACACTACAGCAATATCCACCACTTCATCTGAACCTACCACCACAATACAAATCACCACCACTTCCATAGGACCTACTACCAAAGAAACAACTATCACTTCCAAAGATTCAACCAAAACACCAATCGCCACCACTTTAACTGAGCCTACCAACAAAACAGCAAACATCATCACTTCCACAGGACCCTACACTGCTCCCATGGAATTTACCATGATAGCAACCACCACCAATTCCACAGGACCCACCCCTTCAACAGCATCCATCACTACCACAGATTCTACCACCACAGAGAGCACTACTACTTCCACAGAGACCCCCACCACAGCAACAATAGTCACATCTACAGAACCTTCCACATTGGCAACCACCATTATTTCCACAGAACCCATCATCAAAACAGCAATGATCACTTCTACAGAACCTAACACTATAGTAACTACCACTACTTCCACAGAATTGCCCAATACAGCAGCCATCATCACCACTACAGAACCCACAACAACAAGCACCACTGCTTCCACTGAAAACAGCACCACTTCAAATAAACCTCCCACCACATCAGCAACCTTCACTTCTACAGAACCCTATACAGCTTTCACAGAATTAACCACAAATGCCATCATTACCTCCACAGAACCCACCACAGTAGCAATGAACAATATTTCCCCAGAACCCACCACCACAGTTTCCATGATTACTTCCACAGAGTCCACCACCACACCAGCAATATTCACTCCTACAGAATCCACCTCCATAGCAACCACCAGCACTTCCACAGAAATTCCAGCCACAGATATTATCAATACTAATACAGAACTCACTACAAGAGCAGTCACTGCTTCCACTGTGCCCACCACCACCACTTCCACAGAGCCCACCACCACATTGGTAACCAGTAACACTTCCAGAGAACCTTATTCCACATCCATAGAATCCACCACAGCAACCATATTTACCTCTACAGAACCCACCACAATGGCAAACACCATGCCTTCTACATCATTTACCACCAAAATGGGAACAATTACTTCCACAGAGCCCACTACAGGAACTACCACTTCATCTGAACCAACCACCACAACAGAAATCTTCACCACTTCCATGGAAGCCTATGCTACTTCCACAGGATCCACCAAAATAGCAACCACTAACACTTCCACTTATCCCACCATCACTTCCACAGAGCCTACCACTATAGCAACCATAAGTATATCCACAGAATCCCCCACCACAACCATCACTACTATAGAACCTACCATAGCAACAACCAACACAGGTTTCACCAATCTCACTTCCACAGCAATCACTACTTCAACTGAATCTCTCACCACTATAGGAATCACCACAATGGCCACAGAGCAAACCACAGGAGCAGTCATCATTGATTCTACAGAACCCACCACCACAGCAACCCCAATCACTTCAACTGAACCTACCACCACAACATCAACCATCACCACTTTCACAAAATCCACCATCACATCAGCACCCATCAGTTTCAAAGCATCCACTGCTACAGCAACATTCACTACTTTACCAGAATTCACTACCACACCAACCAGATTTACTACTAAAGAACCAACCACGCCAGCAATCACTACCCCCTCTACTGAACCTACTACCACACCAGCAATAACCACTTCCATAAAATCCACCACCAGAACAGCAACCACCACCACTTCCACAGAACCCTACATCACTTCCACAGAGTCTACCACAGCAAACACCATTACTTCCATAGAGCCCACCACCACAGCAACCACCACTACATCTGAAGAATCCCACAACAGGGAAAAATTCATCTCTACCATAGAACTCATCAGCAAAGAAATAATCACTACTTCAACTGAACCTACCACCACAACAGGAACCACAACCTCATCCAGAGAACCCACCACCAGAGAAAATATCTTCACTTCTAGAGAATCCTCTACCACATCAGACACAATCACTGTAAGTGAACCCACCACCACAGCAACCACCAATTCCACTGAACCTAGCACCAAAATAGCAACTATCACCACTTCCACAGAACCCTATGCCACTACCAGAGAATCCACTACCACAACAGCACCCATCACTCTCACAGAGCCTGCCACTACAGTAGACATCACTACTTCCACAGAATTCCCCAACACAGCAACCTTCATCAGTACTACAGTACCCATCACATCAGCCACCACCCCTGCTCCCACTGAATACATAACCCCAGCAACCAAAATCACTTCAACTGAACCTACCACCACAGCAGGAACCATCACCACCCCCACAGAACCCACCACCCGAGCAACAATCTTTTCATCTAGAGAATCCTCTGCCACCACAACCACAACCACTGTAACTGAACCCACTACCACAGCAACCACCAATCCCACTGAACTTACCACAATAGCAACTATCCCCATTTCCACAGAATCCACCTCCACCACAGCAGCTATCACTTACACAGAACCTGCCACAATAGCAAGCACAACTATTTCCAGAGAACCCATTGCCACAACAGCAACCATCACTTCCACAGAGCCTGCCACTACAGTAGCCATCACTACCTCCACAGAATTCCCCAACACAGCAACCATCATCAGTACTACAGAACCCATCACAACAGCAACCACTCCTGCTTCCACTGAACACATAAACACAGCAACCATCACCACTTCAGATGAACCTCTCCCCACAACAGGAACCACCACAACTTCCAGTGAATCAACCACAAGAGAAACAATAACCACTTCTACAGAATCTACCACCACAGCAACCACCATTACTCCAACAGAACTTACCACGACACCAGCAGCCACTGCAATTTGACAGAACCTACCATGATCACGTCAGCACCCATCAGTTTCACAGCACCCAGTTCTATAGCAACCGTCAGTATATTACCAGAACTCTCCACCACAGCAAACAATATCACCACTACAGAACCCAGCAGAACAGCAATCACCACTGCTTCCACTGAACCCACCACCACAGCAACAATAACCACTTCCATAAAATCCACCACCAGAACAGCAACCACTGCCACTTCCACAGAACCCTGCACCATTTCCACTGAGTCTACCACAGCAAACACCATTAATTCCATAGAGCCCACCATCACAGCAACCACCACTACATCTGCAGAATCCCGCAACAGGGAAAAATTCATCTCTACCATAGAACTCATCAGCAAAGAAATAATCACTACTTCAACTGAACCTACCACCACAACAGGAACCACAACCTCATCCAGAGAACCCACCACCAGAGCAAATCTCTTCACTTCTAGAGTCAACCACAACCACATCAACCACAACCACTGTAAGTGAACCCAGAACCAGAGCAGCAACCACCAATCCCACTGAACCTAGCACCAAAATAGCAACTATAACCACTTCCACAGACCACTATGCCACTACCAGAGAATCTACTACCGCAACGGCACCCATCATTCCCACAGAGCCTGCCACTACAGTAGCCATCACTACCTCCACAGAATTCCCCAACACAGCAACCATCATCAGTACTACAGAACTCACCACAACAGCCACCACTCCTGCTCCCACTGAACACATAACAACAGCAACCATCACCACTTCAAATGAACCTCTCCCCACAACAGGAACCACCACAACTTCCACAGAATCAACCACAAGAGAAGCAATAGCCACTTCTACAGACTCTACCACCACAGCAACCACCATTACTGCAACTGAACTTACCACCACAAAAGCAGCCACTACCACTTTGACAGAGCCCGCCATCTCATCAGCACCCATCAGTTCCATAGCACCCACTGCTGCAGCCATCAGTACTTCACCAGAACCCTCCACCACAGCAAACATTATCAATACTACAGAAACCACTGGAACAGAAATCACCACCCCTTCAACCCAACTCACTGCCACAGCAGCAACAACCACTCCCATAAAATCTACCACCAGAACAGCAACCATTACCTCTCCCACAGAACCCAGTACCACTACCATTGACTCTACCACAGCAACAATCATTACTTCCATAGAGCCCACCATTATGGCAACCACTTCCACAGAATCCCACACCACAGCAACAATAATCACTACTACCAAACTCACCACCAAAAAAATAACCACACTTTAACTGAACCTATCACCACAACTGGAACTTCCACAACCTCCAAAGAACCCACTACAAGAACAACAATCAGTTTTACAGAATCTACCACCATATCAACCATGACTGCTTTAACTGAACCCAGCAGCACTTCTGCTACTATTTCTAATCTCTAACACCACAGCAACCACCACCAATTCCACTGAACTTACTACCACCAGAGGAACCACCACTATTTCCACAGAAGAGACCACCATAACAGGACCCATTACCACTTTCACAGAACCCACAACCACAGCAACTGCCACAACTTCTAATAAAGGCACCACCACCACAGCAACCACCACTATTTCCACTGAGCTCTATCCTACTTACAAAGAATCCACTTCAATAGCAACCACCACTACTTCTACAGAAACCCCCACTGCAGCAACAAACATCACTTCTACTGAACCAGCCACAATCACCACCACCACTATTTCTACTGAACCCATCATCACAGCAGCAGTCATTACAGAGCCCACCTCTACAGTAACCATCACGTCTTCCACAAAATTCCCTGACACAGCAACCATCATCACTACTACAGAACCCACCACTTCTGCTGAACCACCCACCACAACTGCAACCATCATTCTTTGCACATAACCCATCACAATAGCAACCACCAGCATTTCCACAGAACTCACTACTATACCAATTATCACAAGTTCCACAAAATTCCCCACTACTGAAGCCATCATCACTTCCACCACAGCAGCAACTATTGCTTCTACAGAATCCACCTCCACAGCAACTACCACTATTTATACAGAATTTCCCACTCCAGCAATTATCAACACTAGTACAGAACCCATCATAATAACAACCACCACAAGTATTTTGACAAACTCCACTACCACAGCAACCACTTTCAGCAATTTCACAGAACCCACTATCACAACAGAACTCACCACCTCTTCAACAGTACCCATGTCTTCAGCAAAAGAGCCCACCAACACAATATCAGCAGAAATTACGTCCACAGTTCCTACCAAAGTTACTACTCAAATTATAATCAGCCCTCCCTCCACCATATTGCCCAATACAAATGTCTGTGTTTACAACTCTCAAACTACATCCACCTGTATAAATTTAAAGAGTTCTGGAGGTCTACAAACAATAAATGCTGGAGAGGGTGTGGAGAAAAGGGAACCCTCTTACACTGTTGGTGGGAATGCAAACTAGTACAGCCACTATGGAAAACAGTGTGGAGATTTCTTAAAAAACTGGAAATAGAACTGCCATATGACCCAGCAACCCCACTCCTGGGCATACACACCAAGGAAACCAGATCTGAAAGAGACACATGCACCCCAATGTTCATTGCAGCACTGTTTATAATAGCCAGGACATGGAAGCAACCTAGATGCCCATCAGCAGACGAATGGATAAGGAAGCGTGGTACATATACACAATGGGATATTACTCAGCCATTAAAAAGAATTCACTTGAATCAGTTCAAATGAGATGGATGAAATTGGAGCCCATTATACAGAGTGAAGTAAGCCAGAAAGATAAAGACCAATACAGTATACTAACACATACATATGGAATTTAGAAAGATGGTAACAATAACCCTATATGCAAAACAGAAAAAGAGACACAGATGTACAGAACAGACTTTTGGACTCTGTGGGAGAAGGTGAGGGTGGGATGTTTCGAGAGAACAGCATCGCAACATGTATATTATCTAGGGTGAAACAGATCACCAGCCCAGGTTGGATGCATGAGACAAGTGCTCGGGGCTGATGCACTGGGAAGACCCAGAGGGATCGGGTGGAGAGGGAGGTGGGAAGGGGAATCGGGATGGGGAATACATGTAAATCCATGGCTGATTCATGTCAATGTATGGCAAAAACCACTACAATATTGTAAAGTAATTAGCCTCCAACTAATAAAAATAAATGGAAAAAAAAAACTGAACATTGAAAAAAAATTTTTTTAAAAAGAGCTCTGGGAATAAATTCCTTTAATTTCTTGTTTGGAGATGTGAAAAATTATTTTCTAAACTGCTCTGAGATCTTAGGTGAAATGAACTTCAATTATTTCAATGGAACCAATCTTGTTCTAACCAAAGCAAATAAAGTGTTCAAGCAATTATATGCACTTATTGCTGTCTTGATGACTATCACCTTTCCTATTTTTATTACCTACATACAGCTAATAAAATGAGTTTCAGAGAAAGAAACAGACACACTTTATGAGGGGAAAAAAAGCATTTAATAAAAGATCTCCTTAAAGAGAATGGACAATATTAAGTGAACCAGCAAAGGGTGTTGATGCATACAAAGTCTAACCACAGTGGAGCTTGTGGTGTGCCTCAACTTGATAGGACAAAGGAGCAAATAGCAATACCAGAACCTGAATGAGAATTGGGGACTGTGGATGAAATGAATGTTATCTGTTGCTGTGAAGGGTCATCACTACTGCCCACAGCAGGAAAAGAGCAGTATAATATCCTTTCCTCTTTCCTTCTATTTCTTTCATCAGTGGACTCCAACAAAAATCTGAGAGATGAGGAGTTTGTATGGTTGTCCTCCCAGGATAGAACGCTAAGCAGAGAAGGGTGACCTGCTCATTAGGAACTATTAGCACATATCAGTAGCAGCCTGTTCAGCATCTTGAAACTGAATGAGTAGGTAAGGTAAAATATGAGTTCCTGACTTCTTGCATAGACAGGGAGAGAGCTAGCAGTAAGGTAAATTATAAAATTATATCAAATTTTTACTGTCTTTCTCCCAGGAATGTACCAATCAATACGGACAATGAGATAGTAAAAATATGTTACAACACAAAATTTTTTAAATAAATATACAATAATAAAATAGAAATAATGTGTGCATAAATACGTTAATGTAAATTAAATATATTATTAAATTTTAACATGCTGTCTTAAGTACAGCAGCACAAGCCAATAAATATAAAAAAGAAACAGTATTCTAATAAATTTATCATTTTACTTCCCCTCAAAATATCTCTCAAATTATATAATCATTTTTTAATAATGACAGTGTCATTGATTTGGGGAGTAAAAAGCCCATTCTATCCATTCTAGCAAATCTAAATGTCCAAATGGAGACATGAGGCATAATTTTGTTTATTTTAATAAAATAGAATTAAAATGAAATTTGATTATAGCAGGAAAATAGTTTTTAGAGGTATATCAGGTATATTAAGGTCATTTCAAATTGCATTTATTCCTGAAAAATAAACTTTAAATTGTTTTAAACGAAAGATTAACCAACTTTTTATGTAATGTATAAAATGTCTGAGAAGATGAATATTTGTATCTCTATATTTAACCTTTTAAGAATAACTCTGAACTCCTACCTTAAGGCACTACTATGGCCAGATTGCCCCAGTCTCCTTGTCAGCTGTCATTACCAAAATCTGGCTTGCAAATTTGTATAATATTTAAGCATTACATAAGGAATCATCATAAGCATGAGGGATCATCAGGGTCTCTGCAATGTCAGCTGTCTGCTTCCTCGCCTGTTCCTGCTAGTAGCAACTGAACAGATCTATGCCAATTCCAATTTAATCTTAAATTTGAGGATTAAATAAATACTACTAGGCATTCATAGTCAAAAACATTTCCTACCATCAAGGAGCTTTTTATCCCTTTGAGTTTGGCATGCATTATCTCATCTCTCCACAAAGTTTTTAATGGGGGCAATCTGTCATCTCTGCCATGAGCCCTATTTCAGTCACCAGGCAAGGCTGGCCACTTGCTCACTCCTCTCCTCTCTTCCATGAGCCCACGGTAAAATAAGTTTGTTGGGTCACATCACACTGACACTCCAGTGAAATGTAAAGGCTCATTGGTGTTGAAAGTCTGCCATTAACCTCATTTCACATTCAGCATACATTTCCTCCCAAGCTTCTGTTTCCCATATCCCTGTTAGGCACAACTTCCAGTCAAGACTTAGAGCCCTCCCCACATCTATTCCCTCCCAAAACCTATTCCCTGTCACTCACATTTCCAGAGCTACCCCTCACATTCTGCAAGTTGTACCCTATACGGTTTTAGGA